TGAGCAAGCAGTGATTAGGACTTCCTCAGCAGAGGCTATTTGAGACGCTTGGTCGTATGCGAGCATTTCGCGAGGTGCAAGGGATGGGTGACCAGCCGCAACCCTATACATCCACACCCGGCCATACTGAGGATTTCGATCGCATGTTTGCAGATCAGGAAACTGAATATTAACTTCAAAACAGTTTGAGAAGACACTCAGTTACGGTTATATCAAGTTGAATTAGGCTTCCTAGTTTTAAACTACGGGACTAGTGTTCTTAATCTTCAGAGACAAAATGGGTCATATCTTTGAGGGTCGGAAGCATTAACGTCTACACATCTATTCCGTTTTTTTCGCAGATCTAGTTTGACCTCATTCTTTACTTGTATCTTTGCTCTCCTTTTTTCATGGAGAAAATTCGTAACCCAGAAACACTGACCAAAACCGGAGCACCGTTTTGGAAAAAACTGAAGTGTCTGAAAAGTTCTCGTAATCGCCATATCGAATTAGAAACGCGTCCTGTTCATGTGCCTTATTGGAACGGTCAGGTCGCAATTCTCGTGGCGGTCATAGTGAGTGCAGGCAACAGCAAAGAAGCGCACTAGTTCTCACTTTGTGAATTGTATAAAAATGTTTAAACACATCCGCAACGGTCGAATATACAAGAAGTGTGCAGAATGCCGATAATGTTACTAATGGAACACTTTGGAATTGTAGGATACTCTTACGATTCGACCAATGAATCGGTACTCGAAATCGAAACTGGATTGTTTCTTACTCACCGGCTTCTTGCTATTTCGCTTTTCACTTTTGCTACGTCCCCGTTTACACATGTTTCTCCACTTTCCCTATGTTAGGCCTACGTACAAGTATTCGACTACGAGTGGCACGATTACGAACGTGTGGCTGATTTGTTTGAAGCTTCACGTTGCCTCAATCCGGTTGATCGACCCAGTTTGGTTAGACTTTTGTCTTTGGCTCGGCATAACTGCGCTCTGATCGATGGTGACTTGCAATTCCCGGGGTAAGTATCGACTGCCTGTTTACCGACGTGTCTGTCGCATCCACACACACGCACATCACGTATATGTATCTGGTTGGTTTGCATATAATAGCTGCTTGTCCCTTGTGAGATTCCACGCCGATCGGCCAACCCCAGAGAAAACAAGCAATTCCTTCCCCAGTTTAGGTCCACCACTAACCCAAGCGGGTTTGCTGAGCATGTCCTTCGTTGAAATTTGCACACCCACACACATGCATATATTGTTGGTGTTGGATTGCTCATCCATTCTTTTCCTTCTCTCCCCATTGTATATACTGAATTGTGATCGGTATTCACACGACTCACTCATGTACCAAATTTTCAATTGTACGCTACGCTTATGGGAATGCTGTTTTCGTTCAGTGCAACCGGAGATCAGATTTTTTCTTTTACGGATCTAGTTGTTTGGGATTTATCCTGGCCGTTTTGTGGTGTTTTGTTCTGAACAGTAATCGATTTCTTTGCTGAATATCATTTCTATCACACTCTCTCAATAAAGTAATAAATAGTTGACCGGAATGCTGCTCAATTTATGGCGACTTCAGCAATTGAAGCTAACCGTTACTATGCAATCGATTTTTTTGGGCATGCATTTGAACTATGTACAGTCACCGTAATGTGATATCAGGCAACAGTTTCAGTTTTTACAACTATTACCTTTTTATTTTCATGCGTCGTTTTAGGTTACTGCCTTTTGGGTGCCCATTTGGATAAAAGAGCACAAGCGAGGTTGAAATATTGAGAACATTGTAAAAGAGAGAACATAGGATTCATATAGTTTAAGGTTGTAAGAATAACAAAGAGATGCACGAGCATCACTGTTTACGACACTGAGCCGTATTACTCATTATATTAACCATTAATGACAATAATCCTGCTGTTCCGATTCAGGAACGGCCTATGTGAGCAATTCGCACGGTCAGGGTTTTCACACCCTCATACCAGGTTTGAGGTTGATCACCCTGTGCTTTTTCCACCCATTACCTGCTTCGGTAACCAGCACACACGGTTGCAATCTATTTGGTGACATGCGTAACACATGTCCCAATGAGTGTGGTCTCTGCAGGTCAACCACTTGCTCCATTGGGCTACTGTGGTTGCCTAAAACTGTGTTGTTGTGTCGATCAAATCTTCAATCTACGTCAAGTCCTTGAGCTACGCCATACACACCGTCGTACAACGGTTGTCGTGTTCTTTGACCCAAAACGAGCCTTCGACTTGGCTGACCGCGAATCTCTTATGAGTTCGCTCTTTCGCTGAGGAATGCCAAGAAGTATGTGAACATACTGGCTTCACTCTACTCACAATTCTGGTAGTATACGAGTCTACGGCGAGCTGAGTAGGTCGTTCGTAATAGGCAGCGGTGTTCGTCAGGCGTGCCCTCTTTCACCATTCCTGTTCAATTTCATCATAGACAAAATACTAGAGAATGCATTACGTGGTCTCCAAAATGTTGCTATTCAATGGGCAGCTGGATAAAAGCTGTGGAATCTACAGTACGCTGAGGACATGTTTGTTTGTTCGAATGTATAGAGGATGCACAAAGAGTATTTGACAGAATATCACGTTCTGTCGCTCCGTTTGGCATGCGGTTTGCACC